AATAAAGCGAAACAGAACTTTACATCTTGTTTACATTTATATAACTGTAGTCAATAATTGAATTCATTCATTCCGTTCGAAGTTCTTTAAACACTTATGAACTAAACGAATCTAGTAGCTATACTAACTTTTAATCAATTAAACCGAAGATTTGTTTCTCGTTAATTCACTTTATGAGTTTATAAAATATACCTAAATAATAGAAATTATGTATACCTATATTATATTATATGATAGTCATGAAGACTGTTATCCCAGATTGGGTAGTCAGAAGCGTTGTCTACTCATGACTTTATGGCGAACGGAACACTCGACATGCCTAAAATGTATACTGGTTTGTTATCGGTGTTTCTATTACCGGAGAGTTAGTCACAAATATGAAATAAAATACTTTTTTCCTGATGATGCCCAGATTTTGAACTCACGATCTTTTTTCATCGCTATATCAAGTCGGATAGCTAACCACTAGACCACAACGCCCTCTAGTAATAGAAAGTAATGTAGCCTAAATGTAAAAACATTCGGATTTAAAGATATTTCACATTAACAATAAGCTTAGAAATAAAAAGACTTTCCGCCTTAGGGTGTCACAAGGAAAATTCGGTTATAATAATAAAGAGCTACCTCACACATTATATATTTCAATCTAAGAAATATTATTAAGAGCTTTATTCTGTTCCATTGCGGCTTAGGTACAGTCGGCTTCATGCAAATCGTAATGTCAACAATAATTATTTCTGTAAATACCTATATGGATATAAAAAAATGGCTTTATATGTAGAAGTATAAAAACGATTGGAGAAAATAGGATTTAATTATAAAAAAAAAGTAAATTCGTGTAAACTTACTTAAACATAAAAATTACTGACTACATAAAGAACTTTGTAGTCAATTTTTATGTTGACGCAAATTAGCTCGAGTTAGCTCCGATTCCATCGATTTCCATTTCCTAAAATGAAATATATCATTTTAGGAAAAATAGTAAAACAATTAAATTAAAATATACAGAGTATCCACGTATACGTTACTTTTATTTGATAAGTGATTAACTCCATAACCCCAACAATTGTAGCAAGTATAACAGTAACAAGTGAATATTAACTAATCTGTGTACAGGCAGAGGGCAGGATTAAAGCGATTAATTTAATATTTAAAAAGAATTTTCCAACAGCGTAATAATATTATAAATTCATTTCAATTTGTATGTTATTTCTAGGAATACTCTGTTGGAAATATTAAGAAGTGTGTTATTATAATATGTCTGGCAACACCTGTAGGTAGCGTGCGAAGTACAACGAGAAAATGGTATTTCCATTTTTACAATTTCAATTTAGTATTAATTCGAGTCTCGGGTACGGTTGGGCGCGCCGCCACATGTAAAATATGGATCGGCTAAGTGAAATTAAAATGCTCTATAAATTGTGATTTTTGCAAGTCCTAAAGTGGAGAAGGCTTTTTATTATTTATCGCTCGCTCGCCGGTGGGCACAAACCGCGGGCTGAACTGACCGCGGCTGTGTATTGTATTTTTAAAAAATATTAATTGCGATAATTATTACTTAAACTTCAGTTATATCACGGGTTAAATTTCATAAAATTTCCTCTCAAGTTAAAGTATAAATGTGGTATAATATTTTATATTGTATTACTTTATTCTATATTGAGTAACAAGTATCTGGATACTTGTTACTGACCGGAGGTCTGCATCTCATTACAATATTGGAAAAGGGTTTGAAAAAGTGACAGGAAGCTTTAGTAATAAAAACCGAAATTCTGATTAATGGTCACTGAAAAATTGTGAGGAAAAATAATAGCTCTAGTAATGACTAAACAAGATTGTTTGTGTAAAAAAAATTTTATTATTAGAGTTAGTTTATTTTTAGACAAACTGAACTAATTCAGTTAAACTGAAGTTAATTAATATATTAAGTGAATTTCAGATATTAGTAGATCTAAATCTTTCTATATATGTTGTATTGCCAAAAAAGCATAGTCTATTTAATATATAACAATATTGTAATAAAACTCTTTACGTTCCCACATTTTTCTCGTTTTGAACTGGATCATCTTATGCTAACAGCGACCCGTAACAAGGACTTCACTATTTATGCAGCACCTGGACCTCGGCCAAACATTTGTATATCATATGTAATACTCTACCAAACTGACCGACAATTTCATCGATAAATGGACTATTTGATTTGCAAACAGGTCCATATGCAACAAACATATTGCAGTAAATAACGTGTGTGTTGAAACATGAATATAACAATATTTAATAAATATTTTAATATAACCGAGTGCATCGCTTTAAAAAAATGTTTATACGTGTTTGGAATGGGATTTCAATCAAAATAAATATGTGATAAAATTCGACTGTTAGTTACGTAATAGTTAGTTATTTGATTGTTGAAGTTAGAATTATGTATGTTATATTCATGACACAACATATGTCTATCACCTTAGTCGATTATTATCAATATGGTATCGTCAGTTAATGAATGCCGTACTACAATGTGATAATCAATTGTATAGAAACAGCGTCTTACCGGTTCTTATACAAACATTTAAAAAATGTATTTAGAATATAATGAAACTTATTTAACCAACATAACTATTTTTTTTCTATGTAAAGCATGTTTATTGACTGTCTATCTATCTTCTACCTTGTCACACAATATATTTATGAAATTTAAAATATTAAGTAATCTCTGGTAAAGAAATACTGAAAATAATAATGACAAATTGTGGCTATAAACCATCAAGTCAGCGTTCACACATAAAAAAATACGTATTAAAATATGTACAGAGGCATTGACACAAATACACAGAAAACTCAAATTTATACCTTTTTTGCATGAGATAATATAATAATAATAAATGAGTTATTACATCGCGGTAGAAACATTTACCTTTTCATTTATAAACGTTGGTTATACTATCGTTAGTTATTGTCGTATGGTATATCTATTTCCAAATTATTAATAATACTATTACCTCAGCATAGAGATTATAATGTTTATATGTACGTGTAATAAAGTTTGTTTAAATTGATAACCAATTTACTTCAATGTAATAGAAGTGTCTACAGTCAAAGGGCCATATAAAATTAAGTAATACAAACATAGGCACGCTGAGCAAAAACGTTTAAAATCAAATCAAATTTAACATTTTAAGTTCCTGAATAAACTTTAAAAGATTTGAACAAAATAAATAGTAGCATCATTAGAGTCGCAGCGGCGATTGCGTCTCGCAATCAGGGAGACAGCTCGTATCGGCCTGTCCTCTCCTTTACGAAGCTCTAGTACAGAGACGTTTCTAATTTTTTATTCCACCTGCAGTCCAGCACTATTAACCTTATTTGTTTCTTACTGTATTAAAACGAGAAAACTGAAGTGTAGCTCAGAAAAAGGTAAATAACAGCATCATTAAAATTATAATAACTTTCTCACAGTAGATAGTATTTAGACAGGAAGAAATATATTGTACCTATTTAATTTCAGCATTTCATAACTATTTTAAGTATTTATTTACATTTAATTATTATTAAGAACGATACACTATTGGCGAAGATTATTAATTGGCATAGGGTAATTTATTATATGATTAGTAACATGTAAAATTACACCGTTAATCTTCCTAAAATAAATAAATACCATTAGAAGATCGGATTTTAAATACTGACGTAATCTGTAAACATCAACCTATATACATGCATGTTGTACAATGACAACCGACGATTGGGCAAACTACTAATCAGTTATTTTATTCTTCGTAATTTTGGAGACTCATTAATTGTGGTACACTAGTACTAATTAAAAAGATATTTAGTCACAAGGTAACGAAATATTTACATCAAAATTTAAGTACAAGAAGTGCTGCTTAAAAACAAAATTGAACTAAAACATTTTAACCAAATATAAGCTAATACAATTTCATGTACTGCAAGATGATAGTCAGAATGTACCTATTCACGAAATTTTGTTTCTTACCTTGTCGCCTTAATTATTTTTTAATCAAATAATTCCTAGAGATTTTCTGCAAGCATCTATGATGACGACATAACATATGCGAGGAAAATACCGTTACCACGGGTGCATCAATTCACAAAGTTAATAGTGTGCTTACTTTCTAGCTTTAAGATGTGGACTTAAATTTAATTTATTCAATAAATAGTTATAAAATATAATGAGAATTTCGAATTTGTTTGGTATATTGTTCTAAGAGGGAAAAGGTGACCGATTGTGACGTTTCACACGAGTTGGGAATCCTACTATCTCCCAAGTGACACGTAGTACTTTATGGAAAATAAATGACAAATCGTTTACACTCAATTCAACAAATTGTTTACGAACAATATGGAATACAAAATCTTTTTTCTTATAGACAAAATAAATTGTATATATTTACAAAGTTGCTACAGAGTTGTTGTTAATCAAAACACTTTGATTTTGAATATATGAATTTTTAACATGCATGTTTACTAATCTGCTGAAAAGCAAATGCTGGTTTAAATCGGCTGTCTTATCTTTATGGAATTCAAATATTAAAAGGTTATCTATTGTATCTAAAATTATAAGTATAGTACTTTTGATATACTACTAGTGAATGAAATTAATATAGTGATTATTATAATGAATAGAGTATATATCAAACGAAATATAATATATATTCTAGCTTTCTAAGGAATTTATTCGAAGTCAATGCACTATCTTTTATTGTGATTATGCAATGAATTGTTACAAATTGAAGAGAATAAAGATAATATTATCTTGAATCTCTACATATTGTACCTATATAGTGAAGTTTTATTTTGAAACTTACTTATAAAATAATATATAACACACAACTCCATATTTACGTCCAAACTAAGCGAAGTTTGTACTAGAAATGCGTATAAGATATCTGATGGATATATATTTTTCTACATCTGTCTATCTTTACGTTATATTAATAATAAGTTATGATAATTTAATTAAGCGAGCTGTTATATTGTTTCAGGGGCTTTGGCTTTATTACATTCGGCGACCCAGCTAGCGTAGACAAAGTATTAGCTCAAGGAACACATGAATTAGATGGCAAAAAGGTAAGTCTATTTATATTTATCATCTATATTTATTATGATGTTGTGAGCGTTGTTGCCTAGTACTTTATTATCCGGACTTATTGACCTCTAAGGTCGTAAGTTCGAATCTAAATAAAAGGTAAATTTTCAGGAAATTTTTGTATATATAATAGTTTAGATTTGTGATTCTATGGTAATGGGATTTATAAAAATTATTGTGGTTTTTACTTACGAATATCATCTATATATATAAATAAAATTGGAATGTCTGTTTGTAATATTAAAATAACCGTTATTTACTAAATGCATATGAATATAAATATGGTACATACACCAAAATAACATTTTTTACAATTTTTGTCTGCCTCTCCAGCTAATCTTTGAATTGGCTAGACCCATTTTGACGGCACTTTTTTGGCAGGTAGCTGATGAAATAAGGAGTAACTTAGGCTACATTTATTTTAGAAATTTAAAGTTGAATTCCACGCAGATGAAGTCGTGGGATCACCTAGTATTTTGAGGTTACAGAATTGGCATTCAGATCTTACCCAAATGCATTATATATACATACATAAATACATCAGGTTAAATTGTACGTTCCGTAACAAAATATCAAACAATAAACGTGTTATTCGTAAACACCACATTAACATTGTTTTCTAAATTCTCTTATTTATTATAGTAATCATTATAAAAACAAAGTATATATATGTAGACTTAATATTAAATATGGCATTTCCAAAAGCCAATATCTAGACAAACAAGAACTATAATCGCATTACGTACATTTTATGTTATAGGTATTATTACTATCTAATAGATATACGTAACGTAATAAGAAATAAATCAAGCTTCGGTCTGGAATAATAAGGAAAAAGGTTCCCAATTAATCGTAACCGGACATTATTCTTCCCAAAAAAACAACAAAAAAATATAATGTTTATTTATATTAGAAACCATTACAAATATTGTCTTTTATTTGTGATGAACACACTTAAATACACAGATGGGGGATTTGATACAATAAGATTTGGCAGACAAGTCGGAAAAGCAAACATTATTTGTTTATTTACGTGTAATGTAGGTAAACACTCTAATACCTTGGCTCAGTGACATTACTCACAATTCCTGACATTTTAACTAAGTTAACTAATATGTGGTTAGTACGACGAAATTTATCTAAGTAACAACAGTGTCGTAAATTAAAGTCATTGTCGAGACGTCCAAATATACATACATTGATCTTTGTTGCGATTATATTTTCAATATATTTTTTATATTAGACCCTTCTGTTTTTTCAACTTTTGATTGTCATGCATACGATTATTAATTATAATTATTGAAAATAAAACAAGTTTCATTAACACAAACAAGTCATACCTGTGATTTCTTTTCAGATATTGTGATTAATATAGTATAGAAGGATATATACATTTTACTGGTTACTACTTATATATATATATACTATCATAGTATATTTTTTAATATCAAATCAATATCAAGTCTACGAAAGGGATGCTAAATAGTTAATACAAATATAAAGGATTACAACTTATATTTTTGAAAGTATTTCTGGTAGGAAATGCATTCAATTTTCTTATTATCTGGTTATCTTTAATGGATGTTGGCAATTACGACAATGTTCGAGTCTGTTTGAGAGAAATTGGAGAGGTTTTTAAATATAATTGATATTCCAGCGGATTAAATATTAGTGCGCCATTTCTTCTGTTAAAATAGAAAACACGTAACTAGTATTATATTTCTTCACGCCAATTTCTATGATGCGGTAGGCAGAGAGAAACATGTATAGTTTTAAGATATTATAAGCATAACTCTCTTTTTTCATGTGTGTTACTCTATTATATATTTTATTATACTATATATTTTAACGACAAGAGATACGTTGTTCGGATTTATTAAAGATGTGAATTTAGAAGAAGTGACAAATAATAGATATTTAAAAAATATATAATAATAATATAATAACATTGTATAAAGAAGTGCGTTATCCAAAATTTATATAAGCATGACAGAGCAGTCTAGGGCCTTTCACTGTCGCATTATGTATTATGTTTAGTCATCATTTCATCTGACATTCTTCTTATACAGATACCTTAGTCAATCTTTTATTTCAGCATTAATAAATTTTATCAAACTAATTCTTGTAGTAGTAATACTAGTAAACTAGAAAAGGTGAACTGCTCCAAATTCTGTCTGTTTATTTACTTTTCTTTCACGAGAATACTTTTTAACTTGCGTACTCACCTCCGCTTTTGGACATCGATCGGTCTAACTCTTTCGCTATATTTCCAACATTCCCAGGATACTCTCTTTTAATGACTCTCTTTGAATACTTTTCTTTCTATCATACAACTACATAAATGTAGGATTAATGGCAATAAATAGTCAGTGGAAAGTTCTAGATTTGGCAATCCGAATATGTAATTATTATTGACGATTATTTAGTAGACGGAGATTTCGTAGATTTTGACTTGATTAATTAGATTAGATGTTATATTCGAAAATTAGAATACATAGCACAAGCGCCATAATTATTATCGATCCACACTAAACTTTGGAATTTAGTGGGTACGATTCTCGTACAATACATTTGTGTTCATGATTACGTCAGTTTGTTAATTTAGTATTGTCTATGTATTTAAAAAAAAAATTTTCGCTGAATATATAGCTCTATCAATAAGTTAAGTTATATACAACATATAATTCATATTGAAACATAAGTTTAGTAAAATTGTAAATATTTTTCGACTTCATATTAGTCAGATGTAATTAAAGATTTACGTTGCCTACATAAATAGAATCAATCTGTAATCTTGTTAAAGCGTAATATTAAATTTGAGAAATCTGACCTGTTTAACCAAATCTACCTCTGTTACAAGATTTCCGTCAAAATTCAAGCGAGGCCGTCAAGCATGACTTTATCGCGAGACTACGTCCATTTCTTGTGAAGTTTATTGACACATCCACGGTAATATAAATCCCTCGGTCCCCATACGAATAGCGTTTACAACGATCATAAACCGTTAAATCACAGCTACCTTTAATATTTTAACGTAAATTTTGTTTTTCCGTTGTAAAATTACGAAGTTACGTTTAAATTAGCGGTTATACAACACACATTATACGTTAAAGTTAGTTAACTAACGGTACATACCTTACGTACAAATTATTATTTAATTTGTTGTAGAGCCGTGACTGTATATTATATGTAGAGTGTGAAAGTATATTAATTTAATCGTAATAGACGGCCTGGATGATCCAGCGGTTTAGCACTCCGCCATACTTCTAATGGTCGCGTGTTCGATTCCTTGTACGATGCAAACATTTGTATTCACGAATATGATTGTTTGTATTATATTGGGTATTTACTGTGCATATTATGTATGTATTTACAAAAAACAATGTAGTTCAAGCAGAACTTGGAACTAGAGGGAGCTGTGTAAATTTACCTGACTTGTTATTAGTATTACTTAATCACAATTTATATTAAAATAAGATTAATCTGCAATAGTATGAAATTTTTACTAAAAAAACATGCAAACTGTGTTATTCGTAAATAATCTCTTAATTATAACATGTTACAATATATGCCGCTTCAACAATCAATCAATCAATAATTTCAAATTAATATACATATATTAATACTCCTAAATAATAATATTCGAAATATATGTACTGTATGATTAAACGTTCTTGCTATATTATTTTTGCAATATTAAGAAATTCTTGTTACAGGTAGATATTTGTAGCAAAAATGTTTTAAATTTATTTGAAGTACAAAATATATTTTTAAATGTGTATATACATCAATTCATATGTCCGTCCATAGATTTAATACATCCCTGTCACAGACGAATGGGTTAACTGTTGCGAATGTTTTATTATTATAAAAATAGAATAGCTATTCCGATATAGCGAATTGGTTCGCCAAATCCCGCAACAAAAATATAAGAGAAACCGTTATTTCTATAGCGTCTAGCCATTTATGTAGATAATAATCATCTTTGTATCTTGGGATTCGAGACACATTACGAGTTCCCATCCCGACCATTCTGTGTACAGATGGAGAAAAAAGTCGATTACTATCGCTCGCCACGAAATAATCCAGATAAATTACAGCTCCCGTCGTTGTTTACTTTGATTAAATTGTAGTAGACTGGCGGAAGATTAGCTGAAGCCTCGCAAATCGAGCGAGAAGAGAGAGCATTTTCTCAATTTACATAAAACGAACGCGGAAGATCGCGATAGTGTTTACATTCAATGTTCTTATATCGGCTCTTTATACTATTGTTATTTGTATCAATATTTTATACTCTGCTGAACACATCGATAAGTGGTTTATGTGTGACGATTTGAATATATATTCAACAGTATATCTCTACTTCCAGTTAAATTAACCTTGTTTATAAAAATAATTAATATTATTAATAAACTGCTTCAAAATGTGTAGGTAAGTAGTAACCTGAAATTCTACGTAAAAAGAATTATGATGGTAAAATACTAATGTTAAAATGATAATAATTGGATAACCTAAATAATAAAAAAGCCTTCTAAACTTTCATAATGGCCTAAGAAATCCAATTAAATATAGATATAAATTACGTTAATATGTAAACCTATTATTATTGCATTATTCTGTCAATGTCAAACCTACTAGATTATTGTCACTCGTTACGAAATGTATTGTAGACGACTGTACCTGGATAGGTACATAATTATCATGTTGAATTAAAAATATCCGTCCAAAGTTATTTCAGTGTTCATTAGTTATCATAAATTCAACTTATATTCAATAATTTATTAAATATATGTTTATGTAATATATTTTTCGTAATCAGGCTTATCGCAATGTGGACTGGAATCTATGAAATTTTAATGTAAATAGGTAAATCTTTTCATGCAAAATATTACGATCTTGCTTAATTAAACTGATCGTTTTAATCCGTATTTGCTCCATATTTTTTCCTTACCTTTTATCCTTATCGCGGTCCCATCTTTGG